GTTGAATGAGTACAACTGTATTTATGCTTATTAACAGTAACACTGTTTTAAGCAATGACTATAAAATTACCCCTTGATTTTTCAGAGTATACATGAGATAAAGTATTACAAGCAGCTTTCAATCCAATGAAACACAACCACTATAATTGCAGGTTTCAAAATGCAAATGATAGCTTCACAAATGTAGGATAGTTATTATTATTGCACTTAAATGTGACAGGTGGTATCCTGTTGGCATTCATAACCCTGCATGTAGTAATCCTAGCAAGACATAGCTAATGGACTGCAATAATTCAACAGATGACATAGGACATATGTCAGCACTTCTGTGTCCAGATCCACTGGAGAAATTAAAAGCCTTTCTCTCTATGAAATGCAAAGCCCCCCCCACCTCTCAAGTCCCTCTGAGTCGGCTGCAAGTGCCGTCATCATTACAGTTGTTGCATCTCGGATGGCTTAGCACCGGCTGAATGCAAATCTCAGCGCCTGTTAAAACAGTGGGAACCTGCTCATGGCTAAACAAATTAATGAGGTGTCTGTCATGGGAAGGTATATGTTGCGTTACCAGTACTGGAAAGTCTAAATTTCCCTTGTCTTTTCTACAAAAAGACAGTTTGAAATTGCCAATTTTCTAACCCAACAAAATAGTCCGATAATTGTTGGAAGATGTACTCTGACTTTCATAGTCTGATTGTAACCTGTAGTCATCAATCATTTTGCAGTCTGTGTTTTTATCTGTGCAAGCTTATATTAACGACAACTCCTGTTCCTGGGCAAACTATTTTAAATATATGATGTTCAAGAAGATGAATTCAAACTCCAGGTGGGAATCCCGAACCCCACAATCCGCCCAGCTTCGGAGGCCTGATGGCCTTGTCCATTAGGACGCACTGGGTTAAATAGCATTAGAGGGGGAATAAAACGCTGCAATTAATTGTCCTTGCTGGGCATTCACAAGAATCAAATGTCAAAGACATTTTTGAAGAACAGCGCTTTTGTTTGCCGCTAAGATAGAATCCTCAAACGTTAATTTGAAGGACCACAAACAAGGATCCAAACCACAGGAAACAAAGCACAGTCACTATCCATCATTTTTTATATCAATCCAGCAATGAAAACACCAAAACGTGTGTTTTTTTATTGAATGATTTTCCGGCAGCAAAAACTGTACAANCGGAAATGAATTTCAGCGCGCCATGTTGAAGGACATCTCATTTCTCTAAATGCACTTCGAGGACCGAGGATCGAGCGTCTCTCTGGAGGAGCTATAACCGAGGACGGTTATAGCTCCTCCAGAGAGACGCTCGATCCTCGGTCCTCGAAGTGCATTTAGAGAAATGAGATGTCCTTCAACATGGCGCGCTGAAATTCATTTCCGGGTCACTACCGGAGGACCGAGGAGTCGAGGAGTCAAGAAGGGGGATTTGATGAAATGAGAAAGGGCCCAGGTCTGGCCGTGTCAGTAAGCCGGCCACTAGGTTGGACTTGTAGACAGGAGTGTTTTGGGTGTTTCACAATGACCTCTGGGGGTGAATGAGAAAATAAAACACCTATGGCCTTTGGGGGGGAGAAAATGAATAGGGAAACACAGGTGGACTCTGAGTCTGCTGAATTTTGGGTTCTGTTTATTGTGAATGTTATGCACACATGTGATATTACTGCTGCAATGTTTAGAAAAGAAAACTTGCATCTTGAATTTTATTTTATAACAGCACTACTGAAGGTATTGGTTACCCATCTTTATTAACATAATCTGTGAAGTTAATCTGTATTCATAGGACACTTTTGGTTAGTCAGTACGACTGAATGAACATTTGCTATCACAGTTTGACTGTTGTTTACTATTACAGGATGATGCTGACTAATCTGTCAAAACTCTTTACAGTTATTTAAAATTAAATAACTAGAAAAAAGGGGAGATGTCACATATGCATACAATGCATACAGAGCACAGAGTTAAGGCTGTTATGACAGTGTTGCGACATGCTTTACGGCATGCGAAGGACTGCTTTACTTCAGAGTAAGCCCGCCAGTCGTGTTGTTGCTGCCTACTGTAGTGTCTTGACTTACTGTATAACAAACCTGAGTCGTGAAAGATACTCGACCCTCGATCATTCTACAGACCCCACAAACGATAACGGGTCCCAAGGTGGATAGATTTGCAAACGAAACGCTCTGGGGGGTCAAATGGCTCTGTGTAATCGCCTCTATGCGATCATTTCCCGATAGATGAAACCATAGCCCCGCCTCTCCCCACCTCTGCTGCTCACTGCTGTAGCATGGTCAGTAGCTACTGCTCTGACCATGCTACAGATGTTAGTGCAAAATCTACAGCTCCTCTACCACAACCATCAGCAACAAGTGGACATGGAGAATTACATGAACTACCGCATGTTGCTAAATCCACCGCGGAACATAAACAGAAGGGCAACCATGCTCCGGGGTCTTCTTCGCTGCTTTTGGTGTATTTTGTGGCGGAAGTTAAAGCGCCAGTTACAGGCCCGGCATATGTACTACAGCGTGTACAGCGCTTTCAAGTGGTCTCGTGTGGAAGTACAGCGCCACTTACAGTCCCGGCATATGTACTACAGTGTTTCCAGCGTTCTCGTGTGAACAGACACGTCAAATGAAACGAATACATGTGAACGGAATGCTTTTTTGAAAACGCATAATGTGCATAAACGCAAACGTTCCCGTGTGAGCAGCACCTCAGAGTCTTGTCTTCCCCTGTGTTCCTTGTCGATTCATTGTGAGGGAGTGTGGTCGTCTTTCAACCAGAAGGTTGTGGGTTCGATCCCNGATAGGTAGCTAAAAACGCTAAGATGGCCTACCTTGGTCGTTGTCTGGTCAAAACTGGTCTTCAATGGCGTTAAAACGATAAAAACGCTGCTGAAGTTAATCCATAGGTAAATCCAATGTGTCTGNTTCGCAACTCAGGGTTAAGTATCTTGCCCAAGGATACATCGACATGTTGACTGCATGGGCTGGGATCGAACCCACAACCTTCTGGTTGAAAGACGACCAGTGGTCGTCTTTCAACCAGAAGGTTGTGGGTTCGATCCCAGCCCATGCAGTCAACATGTCGATGTATCCTTGGGCAAGATACTTAACCCTGAGTTGCGAATGTGTGTGAATGTTAGGTCCTAGAGTAAGGTACACTGCTCTGTATGAATGGGTGTGAATGGGTGAATGACATGTAGTATGTAAAGCGCTTTGAGGTGTCTTAAAGACTGGATAAAGCGCTATATAAGTACAGTCCATTTACCATTTACCATTGTCTTTCCTGTCACACTTCATTTTTGTCACGGTTAGTTTTGTCTGGATGCTACCTCGCGTTACTTACTCTTTGGATTACCTCGTGTTACCTACTTTTTGGATTCATGGTTTTGTTAAGTATTTTTCATTGTCAACAGCATTTTTTTGTTAATGAAGCTCGCTTTTTGTTACATTTTGAAACCCGCTTCCCTTTTAATCGGCATTTGGGTCCTACCTTTTCCCGAACCTTAACAGTTTCTATCAGTTGGAGTGTCAGCAGTGTCTTTAGTGTCAAAGACAAGACGGCAAGATGTGTTACCCATTATTTGTAATGACGGCAAGATGACTTCCCATTCGGCAATTTTAACACCTCGAAGATACATTATGCACATGTTATTGTCCATATGTTTGGCACTGATAGATGCAGGCACCTATGGAAAGAAAAGCTGCAAGTGACATTTGGTAAATGACGCAACAACCTCAACACCCCCAGGGTGTCGGTGGCTAATGCTGTCGAGTGCATACTCAAGCAGGAACACTTAGGGTCAAGGAAATTACGAAAGACAAAAATAAAGTTAAATAAATGAAATTGCTTCTTTGATTTCCGGTCAACTCTTTTCTAAATGCTTGATTGAAAGTAGTTTTTTTTTTTTTGTTTAATCAGATGTGTTTTTTAAGGTTAGATTGTTCAGCTCTTTTGGGCATTTTAAAATAAAGCAAAACTATAAAGAACCTGAAACAAAAATGCCCTTAAATACAAATGCAAAATTGTCAGTTTAGACGGAAACTATTGATGTGTCGTATACTTCATTATCTCCAGTGTAGCCATATTAGAGAAATCTGTGCCTCCAGTGGATATTCCTGTCGAAACCCCTTAAAATATAACATATTTGGGTAATTTCTTTATATAAAAAAAGAAGAAGTTGGTGATGGTGAAACTATTCTTCGATTGCACAGAGGAACTTTATTTATATTTTTGTTTTTTTAGTGGATGTTTACTGGAGTAAGACAGACCGTTCTGCCACCGCTGCCGTTGCTGACAAGGCCGCTAGCCTGGCTCAGACTGAGCCAGTAATCCTTTAGTAAGAGCCGTTAAACCACCACAGCTGCGACAGGCAAGCTGCCACCTCAAACCAACTGGACTGTTTCATGCCACACACATGGAGAACACACACAATCAAATATATACATCATCTATATAAAGACAAATAAACATACTGCTCTTTCTCTCTTATCCCTTATTTTCAAAATCTTATTGTGGATTTTATCCGCAGGTTGAGCTCCATTGTGTGTGTGTGTGTGTGTGTGTGTGTGTGTGTGTGTGTGTGTGTGTGTGTGTGTGTGTGTGTGTGTGTGTGTGTGTGTCATCCCTGCTTGTGTTTGTATACACGCTGAATAGAATTGAGTGTGTGTTTGTCCACTTGCAAATATGTTCTGATAATTCAACATGTGTTTGTGTGAGTGTGCGCATGTGTGTTTAATGGTTATGTCTCTGTGAGTATGAGTTTGTTCCGGTCTCAATAGTCTGTTGCACAGCAACAAGATATCATTTGATTCATGGATGTATTTTTACCAGTTAGTTGCAGAAATAGTGTTTGTGGCCTGCTCGGAGGAAATCATGTTTCCTTATTTATTTTTTTGTATTAGTTTTTTCTGTACGTAAAAATAAAGCTTAATGTTGTCTTTATTACTTACAAACATTACAATTGTTTGCACACATTTCTTCCCTGACTATCCCCACCTTTCTCCTCCAGGTGTCAAAGGTCTGGGCAACAAAGTTTGGACTTTTGTTAGAACGAAAAAACACAGCGACAGACTCACAACTCCCCGGGTACACACCATACACTCTGACACACGTAGACACACATCCAAGTGTCTCACAGACAAATCTCAAAAACCTGAACAGATTTGTTTACATTAAAGACATTCTCCTTGGTTTGAAGGGTAACAAAATAACTGAGCCCGTTTTCTCTCCACAGGGAATCTCTCCCCACAGTCTTCAGCATGCTGCATCCTCTCGACGAGATTGCACCAATAGTGTGTAAACCTACAGGTATGACAAAAACACATATTCCTCTCCCGCTCTCGCTTTCTCTTTCTCTTAATCTGTTTCGCATATTCAATGTCTGTGTCAGAAGTTTTCTCTTCAAGTTGAAATACGTTTTGTTTCAGGTCTGATTGAAAACTCCCGTGTGCAGTATGCATCGGATGCCACCATGAAGATAGTGTTCAGCTGCTGCCAGCCCTCTATAGTTGTCTCCTATGACACTGTACAGGGAATACACTCTGTCTGGGCCCTGCGCAAAGTCACACAGGATGTGAGTGATCACACAGACACACCTGCAAAACCCCACAGTGAGTCTACCTGTGTCTAACCTTGAGCCTCTCACCTCCATCAGGAGCGATTTTCAGTCCTGCGGTGTACAGCAGATCCGGTTAGCACTCCTTTGGGTCTGAAGGCATCGGCCTTACTGACCTCTCACCTCCGTAATATCTCACGCCTGGACTCCCCCGGAGGCAGTGGGGTGACCGGGCTTGGCCCAGGAACAGCAGCAAGGTATACGCTTTAATATGGGAGGCGTCTGGCCTTGTTATGTCCATTTATTTATATTTAACTTTCATGTTAGGAATGTTTCACAGAGACAAGGTCTGTTTTTAAAAACAAAACATGGCAAAGTTAGCAGTAATGTCAATCAGCGGTTTAATTCAAATGCACACAGGGACGTACAAACATGAAGAATAAGCACAACAACTAAGACCATCTCTGATCCCATCCTTATTTTTCTGCTCTTAGTTGTGCCATTGCCAGCTCTCCTCTCCACTACACCGTTCTGCACGGCCACCCGAGCAGAATGATAACGTCTTCTTCACCAGGGATACACCCCCGGGTTCACTCCTCCCCGATAATATCCAACATGGCTGCCCTCAGGTGAGTTGGACTTTGGGGAAGCTCGTAACAAGACTTAAGTGCCTGATTCAAAAATTGCCTTAAGAACATTGAATGTAAAAGCTAAACAAGCCTTATTAGCACAACTGTTAGGAGATCAGAATGTGTAAGTCAGTATGGACATAGGAGTATTGTTTTTAAATGCCATTATATGCATCAGACAAATCTTAAAAAGATGCATTTTTTTCTTTAATAATGGACTCTATTACCGACTATACAAATTTGCTTCAACGCCTTCTGCAATTGGCAGAATCTTGTGCATGTTCTGATTGTAAATAACAGGATACAGGAAACAATATGCTCCTCAACACCACTAGTTGTCAAGATAATGTCCTTTTTCTCCTCCTCCATCCTTTCATGGCAGCCGGGCCCATCCTCCAGGCATGGCGACTCCATCCTTTACTGGTGCGGCTCGTTTCAACACTTCCTTCTACACCTATTCCCCCAGGGGGCACCCCGGCCTGCTGCCCTCTGCCAACAGCACGGTCAACGAGACGCTGCTGGTGCCGGAGATGGAGCCCATCTTGCCCGACCTGTGCATCGAGCAGCTGTGGAGCGAGACCGTCACAGCTGGTTGCTACAGGTAATGACCAGGACCGAACCCTCATGGAAACTGATGACATGTCTGTGCAGACAGATGTTCAATTTAATGACAATTATGAAGAGATTTATGATAATGTTCTTCTAAGTGATGGCTTTTATTCATGCAAGTTCAGGACCAGGCTACTTAGCTTTTTCAGCTTTTCTTAGTTATTTTTTCCACAGGGTTCAATTTTAGGGCCCCTGCTTTTCTCATTGTACCTGCTGCCCCTGGGTTCCATCTTGAGGAAGCATGGTATCTCCTTCCATTGTTATGCTGATGACAGCCAGATCTATGTGCCACTAAAAAAGAAGGATGCTTTCTCTCTGCAACCGCTTCTGTTATGTCTTGAAGACATTAAAGCCTGGATGTCTTTAAACTTTTTAAAATTCAATGAAAATAAGACAGAAGTGATGGTGTTCGGTCCCAGTGGCTCATGTAAACCCCCTCCTGTTGACTTGGGCCCCTTGATGCATTACAGGAAGCCAACAGTGACAAACTTGGGTTTTAAGATGGACAGTGATTTTAAACTTGACCGGCAAATTGGGGCAGTAGTGAAGTCCAGCTTTTTTTATCTTAGGCAGCTGGCAAAGGTGAAGCCCTTCCTTGGACACAAGCACTTTGAAATAGTAATCCATGCCTTTTGGCAACACGACTTTTCGTTTGACGGACGTCAAACGAAAAGTATGACCTTGTTCTTTCGTCGACCTCTATCGATTGCCCCGTCTTCGGCGCGCAGGAAGAACTGCGGTCGCCCAGGTCTGTATCTGTAGTTTTGCGGTATTTGTAATAAGTGCACCGACGGTCAAAAGGAAACCGTATCCCCGTCCCGTATAGATTCTATGAAAGCTCACCCTTGTACTCTCCCCATCCTAACGCGACTGCGCACAACAATTTCGTTCTCGCTCTTTTTCTCACATCAACAACAAAAGTTTAGACAATTAGTTTCTCCAGGCGGCGCTTTTTGCGCCTCTAGAGCTGGTTAGTCTCAACGAACGTAACTGAACAGTCACCACAAACAACATGACAGTATAACATTCTAAGCCAGGCAATGCTTTGTTTGGAATGTCTTCGGAAGTTTAACCTTTGTAAATTCTACTTGAAGCTGGAGGCCCCCCCAGGAATGATATCATAACTCCTCGACTAACTCGTCACGGACACTATAGAGGGTCTTTTTTTTCGTGGATTTGATGCTGTACGTCTCGGGATGCACTTCTCGTCCATCTGGTTTGGACTTTCTCGATGTGGTAAGTATTTCGAAAGACCATACGCCCAGAACCTTTGTTTCGTCTCTTTATACATACTGGCAATCACCCGGTGTCCACGCTTCGAGAGAGGTCTCGAATGCACAGCGCCTTCGGGTTAAGAGCCCTGGCCCCTTTACCCTCGTTATAAGAGCGGTCGCGTTCGTTGCTCGGGAGGCTTGTTGGGAGTGTGGATATGTTACACTGTGCATTCGGTACGATGACTACAGACCTGTAAAACAGTCCCTACGGTGTTGATTCTAGGTCGTCTTGTATGGTGTATTACATTTATTTGTGCGGTTTCATTACCTAAGTTGCGAAGCGCAGCCCGGCTTGGTGCGGGGGAATGACCACTATATTACTCGTGATATGGGCTGCCGGACGCACTCCGATAACGAAATTTGATATGGAGTTTAAGACAACGATTTTGAGTTAGAGTTGCAAATAAATATTTCGGGATAAAGTTTGTGTCGGCCTCGACTTTGTTTCACGACATGTGCGGTATTTTTTGTTTTGTTTTGTTGTTATTGTTATTTATTGTATATTTTTTGTTGTCTTCTCTTGGGTAACTTCACGTATATTTTTGTCTTGTCTTCTGTCTCAGAGTTACAGACCCAATTATTCGGTTCCTTATTTTACCCAAAGAATCCCGCTCAAAATCTTTTACCTGTCACTTTCCGAACAGATTACCAGTTCCCTCCGGTAAGGTGTCAAAAACCCCTGGCCGTCGCTTATTCCGAGATAGGGGAGACTCGAAGCAAATCTGGAGCCATGGAGGTCCTCGTCGACTAGTCGAACTGGGACTCCGTGGCCGTCCTCTCATTCCTGACCTCGTCAGAGACTCTCCATGCCGCCCCGCTCTGGCAATTTTTCTAAATTTTGTGTTTATTTCTTTCTTAAATTTTACCTGAGATTTTACGCTGTCCGTCTGGTCACCTCCCCTCCGATTTTACCTCATTACACGAGAGGAGAATGCACAAGGTCAAATCTTCCGCACGCCGTCGTAAAACCTGATTGACCCTCTGCCACGCCCTCCCTCCTGACCGACTGAGGATTTTATGTCACGTAATGTCTAATTAGGTCGGG